TGCGAGCGCCGTAAAACCTCTACTAAAACTAAACTGTGTTGAAAGTGCCATATGACGCTTACTAAAACTTTATTTTAAAAAACAAAAAAAAACTATAACAAAATTTTTGGGGGTTATCTTTAAGTGTTTCTCATCTCCTCTTGTCTTCTGCAGGACCGAGGTAGTCTCGTAAGGTGGAGTCAAGGACAAGCACGGGGATTGTGTGTGTGTGTGGTTCCTCGGAGTGCGGGAAAGGCGGCAGAACTGAACGTTTGAGGGAGTAGATAGAGGCAGGGAGGGACAGAGAGAGAGAGCACGATCGAAAGACACGATTGAACGAACGGCTGTCGCCTGGCGGAGGTCAAATACGCTCTGTAAGTACATGTGGATAATAATAATAATAATAATAATAATAATAATAATAATAATAATAATAATAATAATAATAATGATAATAATAAGAACCTTAAAAAAGGCCTACGTGTTTGCTGACTCTGACTTGTGTTTTTGTAAGGAAGTCGTTTTAGAAGTTTTAATAGGGTGCGATTTTTATTAATTAATTAATGGATTAAAACATTTAAAAAAAATTATTATTTTAACTAATTCTAAAACAACAACAAACAGAGGGTAGGGGCAGGGGAGGGAGGTATTTTTCATGCAGAGGGTTTTTTCTGGAGGGTGCGTGGAGGGAGGATTCATTTTTAACTCATTTCAAAACAACAACAAACAAACAAAAAGGGTGTGGACGGTGACAAGGCGGTAGGGGGTGGGTGGAGGGGGGATGGAAAGCGACAAAAAGGCATGGGTTTAAAGTTAAAATTTCAGTTTGGAGTTCGATGGCACTGTCAAGGGCTTAAGAAACAGACAAGCTCAGGAAGAGGTGCTTATTAGAATTACCTTTAGGCTTTTTTATAACAGCAATTTCAATACTGCCACCGGAGAAAGGGCGGAGCGATGGAGAATGAACGGCCTTAAGGGCAGAGGGTGAGGTAAAATGAAAGGAGTCAAGGTTTGTCTGTCACTTCGTCCTTTGTTTGTTTATATTAAAAGAGCACAAGCACCATTTTGGCCCCGGACTATGAGTCGACTTACTTCGTTTTCAACGAAAAAGTAACACGCACGAGTGAGTTATAACTTACATGTGCACGGGCGGTCGCAGCGCGCACCAATGACGCAGGCTATTTCATCCAGGTGAAAGTAACAGAAGACTTATTTGTACATAGAAGAAGAAACTGGTTCGGGTAGAATTCTGCGAGTTTCAAAGACTTTATGACAAACTTATGTGGTCATAAAAATGGACTGGATTTACGCTAAACGTGAACTTACTTTGATGAACGCAAAAGAGCTGAGCTGTGAGATAGTTTAAACTTTATATACATGTATTTATCCAAGGCTGGATGGATGAAGGCGTTTGTTGCAGAGGGTCAAAAATTAATCAAAAGTGTAAGAAAAAGAAAACATTTTAGTATGTGTGTGTGCGTGTGCGTTTGTGTGTGTGTGTGTATGAGTGTGTGTGTGTGTGTATGTGTGTGTGTGTGTGCGTG